GCCACTTGATCAGCGATTCCGAGGACGAGTACAAGATGGAAGGTTAACACAACCCGCCCCAGGGGATACCTCTCCAGGTTCCCCCGGTAAATCAGATCTTGGGGAACAACCCAATACCCCAGGCAGATGGGGTTCATCATCAACCCGAGCTCCCAATACCACAACCAGTGGTTAAGGAGCATGTACCCGAGCTTCCCTTCCCCACTCTCCTACACAAAGATAGGCTGGAGACTGAGTTTGCCAAGTTCATGGCAATGTTGAAGCAGGTCAATATCAGCATGCCGTTCGTGGAGGCACTGTCGAAGATGCCCAAGTACGCCAAGTTCATGAAGGATATCCTCACCAACAAGAAGAAACTTGGGGATCTCTCGACAGTGATGCTAAGCTAGGAGTGTTCTACCATCCTGCAGAACAAGCTTCCCGAAAAGCGCAAAGACCCAGGGAGTTTTACTATCCCTCTTGTTATTAGCAGCATGCATGTAGGCAAGTCCTTGGCGGACCTAGGAGCTAGCATTAATGTCATGCCCTACAATTTGTTTAAAAATCTCACCTAGCACTACTAGGATGAACATTCAGTTAGCTTATCGCTCCATTGTGCATCCTAGGGGTAGCATAAAGGATCTGCTTGTTAAAGTAGGTGCATTCACATATCCTGTTGATTTTGTTATTCTGGATATAAATGAGGATGTGGATGCGCCTTTGATTTTGGGTAGGCCATTTCTCGCCAAGGCACTTATTGATGTGCATAGTGGTAAACAGATATTGCGTGCTGGGAATGAACAGGCTACTTTTCTGTGTCTGAATTAGATCACTATGATATGCCTGCTGTCACACCTATGCATGATATTTCTCACCAGGTACACGAGCTAGTCGTGTATCCCTCTGTGCCTCTCGTTTTGCAGGATTCCCCTTTCACTCCTTCGCCACCACTCCCTTCAACCTCACCGCCAAACAAAAAGATCAAGGAGGAGTTGCGGGCGAAGCCACAGGTGGCTAAGCCTGCTCGGAAGAAAGGTGGCGACCACTATGAGCTGGTCCCACCTCCTACACCACGACCACCCTGGCCATCCGAGTACTCACTCGGTTGCATCCTGCCGGATGGCCAGGTCGAGCTGACAAATGCTGGTGGTTGCACCCATCGGGTGCATGGCCACCATCTGAAGCTGTACCTCAAGAGCGATGTGGATCCTCTCTTGGAGGCACCTGTTCCTGCACCCCTCTGAGCATCCACCATGGGCGTCCAGCTAAAAGATGGTAAAGAAGCGCTTGTGGGGAGGCAACCCCACCATGGTTTGTTTTCTTTTTCTTTTGGATGATGTACTATTGGGCTGACAACTCGACCTAACGTATTGTGGCTGAGCTTTTGTTTTCCCTTTAGTTGTGCCTTTGTCCCTGACTGGTCCCCTCTTCAGTCCTCTTCACTCATACTGGTTCCTTTCCAGTCTCATGCAGTATGTGCACACCGATAACATCATTCCCCTTATCCTTCCCTCTTCTCCATTGAGGGCAATGTCGAACTTAAGTGTTGTTTCTCTTTTGACTGCATTAGATCTATTTGTGTGCTTGGAGCCTAGTCCACTATCCAAATTTCGATTTGAGGGCTCCAAGTACGTGTTTCCTTGCAAATTGCCTGCTCGGTATGCTTTGAATTGATAGTCTCTATAGTAATGTGCAACCTAGGGAGGTAGTGTAGCCCTATGGAGGATGTTGAAGTATAAGATTCTTCCTATCTAGCTCTCTGCTGTGCCAGTTGATTTTGTGAATTAGTGGAGCTAAGACCGTTGAATTCATGTGGTAATGGTGACTCTGTTTGGATTGTGTTATGGACTCGTGTATCGAATAGGGTGCTCATGTGGGAAATGAAAAGCAGTTGGTCCTCCATGTCGAAATCATTGAAATCTTAAACATGGGGTAAGCCCAACGTGTGTGGCACCGTTCATTGCACAAAATCGGGTTTTGGAAGAGGTTTTAGTGATCCTTAGTGGGGTACTCCTACAAGGTGAAGCTAAGCTGTCTCTAGTACAAGTAAAACTTCCACCCGTTGAACGGTTTGCCTACTTGAGGATGTGTTTTTAAGGGCACGGATAGAGCTTCCGACCCCCCTTAATTTCATTGACCCTCCACACGAGTTGAGGAAAAGGAGTTAAAAGAAGTACTCTAGCGAGCACCAGAAAAACTTGACTCGCTTCTACCGTCACTCTAGAAAATGGCCAAGTGAAACCACCTCCTAAAGCGTAGTAAAGCGGGTTTGGGTTTTAATGTCAATCCGGGTCCTAAGTGTGATGACTACTCCGTGAGTTCTTATTATTTAGCAGTGAAAGTGTAGTGAAGGTCCAAACAAACAAACAAGCAAAGCAATTAAAGGTTGTTTTCAAGTTGAGAGACGTCACCCGGATATGGTTCCCCCTAGACAGTAGTTAAGCCGGATTGTAATTTACCAAGTTCAATTTCAAAGATAGTTATACTGCGGGAGGTTTTTAAACAGTCTGCATTCTCGACTAAAGGTCTCCAGACCCTCTTAATCTGAGTCCACAGCGGGCGACTAACCTCCATCGAAGTAAACAGGTTGAGGCCCTAATGAACCAAACCTCCACTACCGAAGTAAATCCGGTGCAGAATAGTGAATTGACTCCTCGACTAAAGTCGTCAATTCACTACCTTCAATCAAGGGTGCTCTATCAACCTAGGCAGATATTCTCTTTCTAGGTGAAAGCAGAAACAACAGGAATTTGATCAGGAATCATGTCATTCAACAAATCAGACCTCAATTGAATATAATCATATCACTGAATTCGTACTTGGGTTCATACAATCAAACCTAACATACAAATCTAGGGTTCTTCATACCCAGGTGAATAAGAAAGTTACTCCATAGAGAGAGATGGGAAATCTAGCTCAGATGCGGAAACCATACTGTGAAGGAGGAGATTCTGCTTCTGGCACTCAATCAGCTCTTATCCAAGCTCAAGCCGGGCTCCAATAGTGATGGAGATCGATCTAAGGCACTTGAAGAATCAGGTTCGTCACTTTCTCTCTCTAGGTATACGCTTTTTCTCTCTAAAACTCAGCCCCCCTCCTTTGGCTTGAAATTGGGTTAAAAACCCAGAATTTCCCGACCACACGGCCGTGTGGATTCCTAGTTTGCCCATGTGAGAATGGAAACGTCGCGTTTTGATTAGTGGACTTCAGGCACGCTGCACGGCCAGAAAGAAACATCAATTCCAGTTTGATTAGGTCTGCAACTTGCCCCGGGGTGCGACATGGTGTGCCATGAATTACACCGCACCTTTCCTTCCAAATGAACGTCACCAACATGCACCAAACGAGAACTTGCCATTCCCCTGTTCTTGCTGATCTTGCAGAAGTCAGGAAATGCACCATAGCATCCCAATCATTGTGCAGCAGTAGGTCACACCTTATCGCAACAGCAAGGCCTCTTGCAAAAGAGCACTAAGCAAAGAGGTGATCCCTGCTCTCCACTTCCTTTACACAGAGCGGACAAGCTACTTCCCTGATCTTTCCCCATTTTAGTAGTTTATCCCTTGTAACAATCACATTCTTCATTATTAACCAGACTATCATGCTGTAACGAGGTGAGTAGTTACTGCTCCAGACCAACTTGTACCACACAACTCTAGGCGCCATGCTCCTCAAAGTTTCCCAGACTCGACGGACTGAGTAAGCATCCATCTCCTTGGAATCCCAATAAACTATATCATTATGTTTATGCATCCAAGGGGAAATCACAGTCCTAAGTTTAAGAAGTCTTCTCCAAGCCCACGAGCTACTATACTGCACTCTCAATGACCACAGATCACATTGCCTACACTTGTATTCCTTCATCCACGCCACCCATAAGGTCCCTGAATTCATCAAGAACAACCAGAGCATTCTAATAGTGCATGCCTGATTCCAAGCAACCAAATCCTTGACCCCCGGTCCCCCTTCCTGTTTAGAAAAAATATTAAATGAATATTAAGAAAAATAATAAGTACACTAGAATATTATCATAAATATTTAAAATTAATATTAGAATATCTATTTAAACACCCTAATTCAATTTTAAGTACCATTAGAAATAGTTAAAATAAAACATTATCGATCATCAATACATCAAAACCAAAGAAAGATAAATGAAACACAATCATAAAGAATAAAACATATTCCAGTAATTGAAAAAACATTTAGAACGAAAAGAGACGGAAAGTAACCAAGTAATAAATGAACTATAAAAGCTACAACATTCAATAAAAAATGTAGAAAATAAAATATGATTATAGGAAGAGAATTAGAATTACTAAATTTAACTAATATGAAACATTTACAATATAATATTAGAGAATTAAAAGGAAATTTAATATGGAAAATTAGACAACATCACCATGATGTAAGAGAATTAAATATAACATTCTTGGATTATTTATATCAAGACAGAATTCATAAGATATATTTGCTTCAGAAAATTATTTAATTATAAGAACACATAATGATAATTGAAAATACTTATAATGATAATTGATTCTAAATTTTCTATTGAAAAAATTGATTTGCTATCAAGTATCCAAAAGAGGATTCTAATTAAAAAATAAAATATTATGTTTTCCATAAGTCCAAATAGTTTTTTACAATAAGAAAAGTAGAACGACCAATTATGAAATTTAGAAAACTGAATATTCCATGAATATTCTGTCAACTTTAACGCAATGCACATAACAGTAAATTAAAGTGGTACCGAGTGCACATATAATAGAGTTCAATGGTACCCGACGCCCTATTCAAATTTAAGTAGTATGTCTACCTCAATTCTCAAATTTAAGTGGTACTCAAGGTATTTTACCCAAATACTTCACCCAAACAATTCTTAAATATATTCATCTTTTTTTCTCGTGTATTATTACGGGAATTTTCTTTCCAACTTCCTATTTATCTATCTCGTTCACACCAAAAAATAATTTAGCTATCTCGTGAATATAAAAACAAATTGCACGCGAAAATAGTTATTTTACAAAAATCTACTAAAAGAGGTATATAGATAGAAATGTTTATTCCCAGACCAACAGAGAAGCAATGGAAATGGAAAGCTGACTCTTGATCCCTTTCCGACCCAACTTTAAAGAAAAGCGACGAAACGCGCCCCATCCTCCTCCTGCCATCGCCTCCGTCCTTTTGCTTCTCCCTGTTCATCTCCAGGCGAGAAGCCGGCGCTGTTCTGCTCTGGCTCCTTTTCATTTTACTTCGACCTAAGGTCCAAGCTTCAAACAGGTTACGATCTTTCTGCTTCTCTCTTCCAATTTGATTCGAGTTTCGAGCTCTCGGGAATGGTTGATCGCTTGCCCATTATCGCTTTCCCTTCGGAATTTTTCGGGTTCACTTCAAAATTTTGGCTTGATCTGAGAACGAATCAAGTCGTCGGAGTCAAAGTTTCACTGTTCTTTGGAGGGGTTTTTTTTTTTTTTTGCTTCTTTTCTATTTATCGGCCGAGGAAATCTCCCAGCTCACTTTTGTCATCTTCCCAGAGTTGTTAGCTGAAAAAAACATTGTTTTTTCCTGTATATTCTATAATATTTTGCAATGTGGTGATTGAGTTCTTTCTTTAGTTTATTGCTTTTGGGATTGAATTGCCTCATGGTTGAATGGCCTGCAACTTGACATTGATACCGTGTGGAAGGAGAGATTTGAAGAACTGGGGACTCCTTTCTTGTTGTCAGTTAGATTTTGGGCGGTCAAAGCCATTCCCGTCAAATCAAGAGCCCTTGATATGCCAATTTTTTTTGGTTCTCGGATGAATCGATGAAAGCTGTTTCTATCGTATCTAACCATTTTTAGTACTTTACCATGCTGTGCTTTTACTGATTTCATGGCAATTCTGATTGTAAGTGCGTTGTTTTGTGTTTCGTTGAACAGAGGGTGAATCACCCATTACTGTCCGTGTTCCTGGGTAGTTCTTGCCTTGAGAATTTAGTGGCTTTCGAGTCAGGTGGTAACCTTAGCTTTGAGATTCTATGGTTTCATCACATCTAAGGAGGTCTGTGGAGTTAGATGGATGTTCTCTCCCAGGAACTACATTCTGAGAATCTCACAGATATTAGCCCACTGTTAATGGAGCGAACCGAGACTTTTAGGAGTACTGATCACATCATCGACGTGCCTGGAAATGTTGATTCTTCTTCTGAATCAACATCCCATGGCGGACATTCTCTAGAAACCTTTTCAGCAGATAGCAGGCATTCAACTAATTCAACACCCTCGGTTTCTCAGCCTTCAACATCGTCATCGAATGTATCAGGTCCAGGTGCCCGGAGTACTAGGAGAGGGGAAGCTCACAGTAGACGCAGGAGTCCATTGAACTCAGGTCTATGGGTATCATTCGAATTGGCTCTCACATTGAGCCAGATCATTGCATCGATTGTCGTTTTGTCCATATCGAAGGACGAGCACCCACACACTCCCTTGTTCGTGTGGATTATCGGTTATGCGTCTGGATGCTTAGCGACTCTCCCCCTTCTTTACTGGCGATATCATCTTCGAAACCAAGGGTCTGATCAAGATGCTGCCCAAACTCGTCAGGGTTCGACTCATATTAATGTTCCCGCTGGACCATTTTCTCTTTCAGTGACCAGGACTTCTGGTGGAGAAGATCGTCAACCTGTGGTTGGATCGCCTAGAGGTGGTCAAAGTACAGCAGCAGTAAATTCGAGGTATGATTTTAGTATTCTTGTGGTTCAACTGTTGCTTTTCATTTTGTAGTCTCCTTAAGCAGAGGATAACCGTTACAGTTTCTGTTTTCACGTGGAGCTTAACTATTTTGATATGGTTGCAGTCCATATCGTTACTGTTGCATTTTATTTTAGGGGGCATTGTTATCTCTTGCTTGAGGCAAATAGCTTAGTTGAAGCGCATAGGCTATCTACCTATTGTTATCCATTGTTGAATCTAGTAAGTTTATGCCATTCATGGCATGTTATCAGTTTGTTCTATTTTTAGAGATGTGTGTTTATTCGTGATTAAAGTTAAGCCTAGCGATACAATAAAGGCTAAGCTCTGTATTGGTATAAATAGCTCATGGCAAACTGCAATGAGAGGAAAGCTGTAAAATCCTAAGGGAAGTATATACTCGCCGAGCTACTTCACTTCTTCAATAATCTACATCAATTAGTGTTACAACGCTTAATACTGATTAGTCTTGGTATGGGGTAAACCCCCAAGTTTTAGCCCTATAGAAGCAGGATCCGATTTTTTTACATTTATAGAGCTTCACTAGCTTTTCAGAAAGTAGATTCCTATTGGCAAGTGTTCCCTGTTGAAAATGTCTGCTCTGTCAAAATTGTGCTGCAACAATGAACTTTGTTATAACCTTGCAGGGTCAAGGTCCTAGTTGAGTACTTCAAAATGGGATTGGATTGCTTCTTTGCTGTTTGGTTTGTGGTGGGTAACGTGTGGATCTTTGGTGGTCATTCTTCGGCAACTGATGCTCCAAACATGTATAGGTACTTCTCGTGCATATGCAGCTACACTATTATTAATATTATTTCCCCCGCATGGCAGGACTGATCGTTCCTTTGTGTGTTATCGTCTTTCTGTTGGCAGGTTATGTATAGTGTTTCTCACTATCAGCTGCATTGGATACGCCATGCCCTTCATTCTGTGTGCCACCATCTGCTGTTGTCTGCCTTGTATAATCTCAGTCCTAGGGTTCAGAGAGGATCTGACCCAAACCAGAGGAGCAACACCTGAGTCGATCAGTGCACTACCAACATACAAATTCAAGTCAAACAAAAGAGACGGAAATGCAGGTGACAATGATGGTGGGGTGGTAGCTGCAGGAACCGAGAAGGAGCGTGTTATCTCCGGGGAAGACGCGGTAAAACATGTCTCCTCATCAATGGACACGGCATGAAGCATGTATCTCTCGATATTGAACTTGTTGTACTTCTCTTTGCAGATTTGCTGCATTTGTCTGGGGAAGTATGCGAACAACGACGAGCTGCGAGAGGTGCCATGCTCTCACTTCTTTCACAAGGATTGCGTGGACAAGTGGCTTAAAATCAATGCATCCTGTCCTCTGTGCAAAAGCGAGGTTGGTGAAAGCATCACGGGTTCACTCTCTGGTGTTCAAACTTGAGAGTTAACAGTGGTCCTGCTGGTGAGCTCTGAAGTACATGTTAGAGGAGGAGAACAAAAGTGATTAAGCTTATACATCTAGACAGTATCGACCTTGAAGCTTGTAAAGAGTGCTTCTCCAATGTTTTTCTTACTTTGTGTAAGAATTGGCTTGAATTCACCCGGTTCCTTCACTCTTGTTGGTCTTTGGACTAATGATAACATGATGCAAAAAAATGGCTAATTGCTACTGGAAAGTGGAAAGGAAACTATGAATTTTACTCTCTCGAGTATTTATAGGTGAAGACAAGATTGCCATTAAAGTTAAAGTTTAATTGACATCAATTGTTCATTCATGTTGGTCACTATAAATATTTAATTCTATTTGTGATCACTAAAATTAATTCAATTGTTCAAGTTTGATCACTTCGTCCAACACTGTTAACTTTTGCTAATATGACAGTAAATTCTCATAGTTGACTGTTAAATCATAAATGTGCAACGTGACAATTAGAAAAATATTTAAAAATAAATTTTCATTTTTTAAATTTCCACCTCATTTTCACAATAATTAAAAAATAAAATTTAATTTATTGTCCCCTCCGAGAGGAAGCCAACATTGACTGACTTTCATGGAATTATGGTTAAAATTTGACCCAAACACCCAAATCATCTTCTTAGTAGAATTGTAAATTTAACTATATATTATCCTCCATTGATATCAATGATCAAACACTCAAACCATCTCCTGCTTAACGGTGTAAGATGAAAATTTAGGTATTTTCAAATAACTTCATTAGTTAGTTTCTCATCCTTGTACGTCTTCACCGCCACCTCCATTGCTTTCTTCGCCTCCGACCCCGACATGCTCCAAAAAGATTATGTGGAAGAGTAGGAAGCAAACCTTTTTCCGGTGGGGATGCAGAAAAATGGAACCATGGCCCCCATCACACTCATTCTCGACGCCTACCTCTTTCCTCCAAGCAATTGGCATAAAAGGGCATCCAATCTGACGCCATCAACTTGGGTGGTTCTGAGTCCTGACTTTATCCGACGTCGTCGTGGAAGCAAGTGCAGCACCCACAGGTCTTCTTTGAGTGCCTGCAAGTTGAAATGAAAAGAAAACCATAAATGGCAGCAAAGGCAGGATGAACGTATTCGAAGCGGGGTTGGCGGCTGGCAGAGAACTCCTGTCCTGATATCAAAATTCTGGCGCCGTGGGAGGGGAATTAAGGATCGTGTAGAGGAACAAGGAATATGTAGATGGAAGGAAGAGAGGAGGTTATACAGAGTTAATAATTTTCCTTTATACACCTATAAACTTCTCAGTGAAGTGGTTTGCTGTTTTTAGAGCAACTTTTTAATAGTTGGAAATGATGTGGAAAATTTAAAATGCTGCATTGTCACAATAAATGGTTTACTGTTTTTACTCCTTTTTATTACTGTTTAAGTTTTTTTTTTAAAATTTAATAGTTGGAAATGATGTGGATAATTTAAAAGATTAAAAATTGATTTTTTAATATTTTTTAATTTTCACGCCACACATGTAACGGTCAACTACAAGAGTTGACTGCTACATCAGCAAAAGTTAACGGAATTGGACGGAGAGTGACCAAACTTGAACCTTTGAATTAATTTTAGTGACCACAAATGGAATTAAATATTTGTAGTGGGCAAACATTAACCTTTTTAGTAATCTCAGTGACCAACCTTGCAATCTACTCCATCATAAAATGACTTAATTTACAAGCAAAGAGTCTGATTAGACGATAAAAAGTAACCAATTTACTTCGGTTGTTTGCGATTTCAAAAATCTCAGAAAATTTATGCTACATGAGAAAATCGATTTGATTGGATAATCGAACGTAAAATTACGCGCATATGAAATTTCAATCTAGATTAGATGGAAATCACTGTAGCCTCTAGTGATTTTGAAGCAAGATAGCTAGAGTACGCAACGATAACGATCTAACTAAAGCGAGTATGTTAGCAACGATTTGAGTAAAATCACTTTTATCTCCAACGATTTGCACTAAATTTGATGGACACTACAATAATCTAGTCTAAACTTGTGTATTTTGAAAATTTTCCGGTGTAAATTAAATATTGTGTGATTTTTTAGTAAGTCTAATATTTTGGAAAAAAATATCATATTTCAAATCTTGTACTCTTTTAGTAGCCACACAAGCTAATAAACTTTCATAAAAAACACATAAAGGTCGTTTGGATACATCATTTTGGTTCTGTGGTAAAATGCTGCATTACTTTGGTATATGGTATTTCATGTGGTATTTTCTAATTGGAATGTGGTTATTGAGTATAATTGTCTTGTTTTGAAGATTCACACGTTGTGTTATTTCACTACTAAAAGTAGGGAAGAGCAAACCACCAAGGGGTGGTAGAGGCGCATGTTTGTGTACAGGAGGTTTTGGGTTCGATTCTTGGCAGCTGCCACTTCTGCGTTACCCCCTTGGTGGCAGGCGGCAGGGCTGTAAAACTAATATTAAATGCTCTCAAGGTTTATCGGGTATCTATTGGGGTCAGGGTTTGATGTCGCAAGATGGATTTCTCCTCATAAAAAAGGCGAAGAGTGATGTAACACCCCGATATTTTGGTTTTAGGTTCGACCTTAAATTGGAATCGGTTGGATTGACGATTACGTACTAAGAGTTGCAACCGCGGATTAAGAATAATAATAATTATTATTTGTAATGTATTTAAAAAAATATATATTTATTTATTTATATACCTGGAAAGGGCCGAGCGGCCACTTCCCAGGACCAACCTTGCAATCTACTCCATCATAAAATGACTTAATTTACAAGCAAAGAGTCTGATTAGACGATAAAAAGTAACCAATTCACTTCGGTTGTTTGCGATTTCAAAAATCTAAGAAAATTTAGGCTACATGAAGAAAATCAATTTGATTGGATAATCGACCGTAAAATTACGCGCATATGAAATTTCAATCTAGATTAGATGGAAATCACTATAGCCTCTAGTGATTTTGAAGCAAGATTGCTAGAGTACGCAACGATAACGATCTAGCTAAAGCGAGTATGTTAGCAACGATTTGAGTAAAATCACTTTTATCTCCAATGATTTGCACTAAATTTGATGGACACTACAATAATCTAGTCTAAACTTGTGTATTTTGAAAATTTTCCGGTGTAAATTAAATATTGTGTGATTTTTTTTAGTAAGTCTCATATTTTGGAAAAAAAATATCATATTTCAAATCATGTACTCTTTTAGTAGCCACACAAGCTAATAAACTTTCACAAAAAACTCATAAAGGTTGTTTGGATACATCATTTAGGTTCTGTGGTATTTGGAATCAAAATGCTTCATTACTTTGGTATATGGTATTTCATGTTGTATTTTCTAATTGGAATGTGGTTATTGAGTATAATTGTCTTGTTTAGAAGATTCACATGTTGTGGTATTTCACTACTAAAAGTAGGGAAGAGCAAACCACCAAGGGGTGGTAGAGGCGCATGTTTGTGTACAGGAGGTTTTAGGTTCGATTCTTGGCAGCTGCCACTTCTGCGTTACCCCCTTGATGGCAGGCGGCAGGGCTGTATAGCTAATATTAAATGCTCTCAAGGTTTATCGGGTATCTATTGGGGTTGGGGTTTGATGTCGCAAGATGGATTTCTCCTCATAAAAAAAGGCGAAGAGTGATGTAACACCCCGGTATTTTGGTTTTAGGTTCGACCTTAAATTGGAATCGGTTGGATTGACGATTACGTACTAAGAGTTGCAACCGCGGATTAAGAATAATAATAATTATTATTATTAGTATTGTATTTAAATATATATATATATATATATCCTACAAATTATATATGGAGATTCTCCTTAAGCATACACCCAATCCAATTTTTCCTTGCCTATGCGCATAGAACGGAAGGACTATTTAGTCCTTTTGTTTACTCATCTATTCCGCTACTGTCTCATGTGCCTAAAAGCCTAATCAAATTGAGATACAAATTAAAAACTTATTAAAACTCATGCTCCAATTGTTGATATATAATAATAAAATAAAATTCAACCTACAACTCTCGCGGCATCATTGTTACAAAATTCAAGCTCCACTAATCAACTTCAACAATTTCGACTAATTCAAGGTTGTCAACCCGGTTTAGCCTATTGACCCGTCGAGCAAGTGGGTTGAGGGTTAATTGTTCGACCATTTTAGTTCGGTTTAGCTCGAATATATGAAAATACATTATATTGTTATACATTTATAAATTATATTAAATCTCATATAACATACGAGTAATAAGATGTAACATTACACAAAAATAACATTTTGTACTTGCATCCAGCATATAGTGAAAATTCACAAACACATATATAACATCAATATTAGAATGTTCAATTTAGAATCTCAAAGATTGGGTTAGGACTTAGGAGAAAAGAAAAATCGGAAAATCGGAGCATTTTACAAACCAAAGGAAAAAAAGAGATAGTCTGACCTCCAGCTCGGTACCTTGTAGCGGTCGACCCGATGTGTGTGTGGGGCCCATTTTTCTAACCAGGTCCAAATCAAAATGGATTAACCGGTGGTTCGACCCACAGGACGACAACCTTGGACTTATCACTGCATCATCAGTCCATCCGGCATTAGAAATTGCCGATGATTATATGCATATCTATATATGTTCGTCCGTATTAGGTCAGATAATTTATTATGTGATACAAATCTAAAAATTATTCAAGAATATGATAAGTGTATTTGAATTATTTAAGGTATTGAGATTCACGCCTATTTAAAATTTTATTATTGCTAAAATATGAGGCCATAAAAGTTAAATCCTAATTAGTTTAAGTAAAATTACATATCATTCCGATCGAGGAAAGTACCATGGATATTATTTACTCCAAAACATGTCAAATAGACCGGATAAAATGTGTTAGGTCAAATATGTCATCCCTAATCAATATCATTGTAAAAATACTCAGCCCCACAATTCCTTTCTTAATTATGAATGTGTTTTCAATATTTAGTTCCTAGATTTGAAGCCTTCTAATTGTAATAAGTTTCAATCGATGTTACATCTATGGAATAAAAATTCAAGTTTTAGTTGTGATAAATTGCCCCTAATAAATTGTTTTTCTATAAAGATCATCCACTATAAAATATAGTCACAATAACACATGCTTAGGGATGGATGGTTAATTGAATTGTCATGAATTTCTTGCTATGTGATTTTTACTTATCCTCCAAGGTGGTTCTGCCTATTGAGGCAAATAGTTCCATAGTATTATGCCAAAAAGTGACAACATCATTATGTCTAAGATGTACATCTCAATTATGTAGTCATTAAGTAT